TGATTAGCTCTTGCGTTATGACAGTTACGAGTTGTGAGTGCTTATGTCTATGTGCAGCTGGTCGTTTCGGACGTGTGGCTCGCATGATGACGACCTACTACTTCTAATTAACTTCTAATCATTCGCACTGAGGTGGAGCCATTTTCTTCTAGAGTTGAAAAAAACCCGCCTGAACAGCCAGATCGGCAGTTGTTTCAACGGTAGGTTCCACGCTCTTGAGTGTGTCAGTAGATTTCTTGAATCCACATTATTTTGTGGTTATTCGGTAGGTTCCCCGCGTTTCTGTGGTTGTGCGATTCTTTTGTGGAGCCTTTCATTTTTGGTTTGCATCTGACTTGTTGGAGTTTGACTCCAAGACAACGAAGTACACCTTTGCATGTCTTGAATAACTCATCCTCCCGAGAAACACGCTCCCGAGAAGCATGCTCCCGGCCTGATTGTTGAATATATCGTAGCATTTCGGATGAGAAAAGTGAGAACAAAAAGCTCAAAAGCTGGTCCCTGATCCCATGCCACTTCAGATTCTTTTCGGAGGCTGACCAATTGAAACCCGCTCCAGGTGGGCAATGATCTTCGCTTTGAGCTTAACAAGGCCCGACATGGCTGGCCAGCGGGGAAACAATGTGCAAAAAACATGGTTAAAAAAGCATTCCCCATCTCCAGCTTGCACTTGTCTAGGTTATTAAACAGTTTCTTTATTGCAACAGAGTAGCAAGCAGCGGAGGGCCCGACTTGCTGCGAAAGTGCCGAAAAGTGAAGCGTTGACATTCTGGGCATCGAAGATGGCCTAGAGGGCCCCGCTTTTATTGCACATGCGCAAAAAGCAATTCCTTTCCGTTTTGGGCTCTTTTGTGAGATTGCAGAACCCTAGAGATCTCAGAGACTCCTGCAGTGGATTTACAGGTACATGCTGTTGACTTTCTAAAGGGAAACCACCCCTCCCGGTCCGAGCTACAATCAGCTGGTATACAACTTCAGTGATTGCATGCCATCGTCAATGACCCTGAAATGCTTCTTTGAAACACTACAGATGCCCCAATGACCCCAATGAATGAGTTTCGTGGAATGCCAACTTCTGGAAGGCCTCCTGTTTCATCCTTTCCCGTTCTCCCGTGGCCACCCGTGTCTTGGGGTTGCATCGCCCTGATCACCAAGTGTTTGCGCTGCGCAGACCCTTCGAGCACTTCAACAACGTCCACAAAGCTTAGAAGCCGAGACGCGCGCGGGCCTGACGGACTTTGAACAGCCGGGTGGCCAAGTGCTGTTGCCACCCGAGGTAGTTTCCACTTGTTACCACCCTGGCGGAAATGGCATTTGAGGAGACTTTGGACCGATTTGGAGCCGGATGAAGCACCTGTGGTGCTGGTCGTTGGCTCCGAGACCGAAACAGGGCAAGTCGTGCTCAGGCAGTGGGGCCGGATGGAAGTCCTTCGTTGGGGTTCGAAATGCTGGTGCATCAGAACATGCGCAAACCATCCTATGCCAAACCTGGTGTACAAGTAAGTATATACCATTTGCCGCTTCAAGGCCGAATTTTTGCGAAGCCTTTGACTTTGGAAGTAGAGTGGTGAGGAGTAGGAGCATCAGCAGAAGCAAGTAGACATGGAAGAGGAATTCGCAGGAATCTGACGGAGTAGAGTGATGCTCATACACTCATACAGTATAGATGCCGGAGATTGTATTCAATGCAGCGCATGCATGCCGTATGCGGTTCAAGGGCAAGTTGCGAAGCAGCACAATCAGCAGCCTCCACGGAACAGAGTTCTAGTAGATTGTAGTGTAGTTGAAGAACATTCCACAAGTATAAGCGAGTCACACTCTATGCTTTCGAAGTTTGACAACATGAGATACTACATCTCTAGTTAACTGGCCAAACTACTTCATTCGCACATCCGGTGATTGGATTGCTGAGCGTTGGAACTCTATTTTTCTGCTGTGTGCGGAACCGGGGCGCAGGGTGGGATGTGAGGCTCCGCATTCGGAACAACCGGCCGAGGATGGAAGCCGCGGCGAGAATGGAAAAAGCCTTGCGTGGATACATCGACGATCTAGCATGGACTGAGGCGAATGACGTCCTGGCGCGCCAGCGGTTGCAAGCACAACTCTCGATTTGTTTTAAGGAATTGCTCAAATTGACCCTGGCACCCAGGGAATTCAAGAAATGTGTTTGGGTGTTTCAGTTGCTGGCAGATGTTTCCAAGGGTGATGCAGAGATTGCCTGTCTCATTGCCAAGTCTGGTTTGCTGGGCGAAGCATTGATGTGCAATGTGGAGATCCAGGATCACTGTGAACAAGAAGTTCTTTACCACACCTTTTCATTGGCATTGTGTGTTGCCAAGCATGTTCCAGACAGCACGGTTCTTGAAAACTGCACTGCAGCATTTGCAGGTTTGGCATCGGGCACTTGGCACTACCAGGCGCTTCGGGCGGTGCAAATCCAAGTGACAGAGATTTTGGTTCATCTCTGCTATGGCCGAGTGTCTCGCAGTTGGGTGAGCTCGGCTTTGAGCGTAAATCACGTTGATGGCCTCATGGAGGCAGCTCAGATGACCCATGAAACCAAGCCGGTCCGAGAGCACCGCTTCGTAGCTTGCATGTTGCTGGCCAACCTCTGTGAATTGTTGACCGACAAGGCTTCGGCTTCTCCCTCTCGTGGAGATGAGACTGGAACTTTTGGGTATTTGGCTGAAAGCCTTTGGCGCACGGACGACTTCTTCGTGTCCCTAGCTGCGGCCCTCGCCGCCTCGGCGCGCGGAGAGCCCTGGCCTCCCGACAGCGAGACCTACTGGCAGCCCTGGAAATTAGCTCACACAGTGGAAAGACTGTCCCGCCATGGCTATGCGGTCGACTTGAGTTTGAGCATAGCACCTTTGGCGGACCTGGTCGTGCGTGGTCATGCCACACAAGAGACAGCAATAGAACAGCAGGGGAGGATGGCTCGATTGGCCATTGAAGCCATGCGATCCATTTCCTCAGCCTTTGGTGACATTGAGCAGTTGCGACGGGATGTGCACTTCGCAGTCGGTTCGGCTTTTGAAAAAGCACTAGAGGACCTTTCCGAGGAGCATCCTGCTGCAGAAGATTTGCTCGACATCTACTTCGCTGGGCGCGATCCGCTCCCTTACTTGCACACAGATTTGACTTGAGGAGGTCCTGTCAAAATGGCAGGGCCACAAGCCAGTGTAAACATACTCTGGGAACAAAACAGTGCTTGATTTGTTGCAACAGGTTGGCTAAGGTGTATGTGGCACTACCTGAAGCCTTAGAGTACAAATTAACATCTTATATATACATATGATTTGTTACATATGTGTGTACAACGACAGGCAAAGGTTTGTCAAGCTTTCTGGGCATTTCGTCAAATGTCGGTCTTTTGTTTAACTTCCACGGTCAAATCACCATGCTCCGTTTGGTTTGGCGACTGTAGGAAGCTGATCACCAGTGGCTACCCCTGCTTTGGGCTCCCATCAGCTGCAGAAGCTACTGGCTTCCCTGGCTCGCGAAGTAACGTGATGAAAGGCCGCTGATTTTCAGCACTTGGCATCAAAAGCAACATCAAATGGCCATCGTGATTGCGAGAGACAAACAATTCCCCGATTTGCTGTGAATCGTTTGTTCTCGGTCGTGCAGTTCTTCGTGAAATGCGCTTTTCAAAGTACAGAAACCGACGAGTGCGTCGGACCCCTCTGATTATACAAGCAGCTGTCCCAGTTGTGCCAAGCAGGTCAGAAGACATATCTTGGAAAGGTGCCAGACAGCCTTTACGATGCTGCAACTTTGGCCTTGAACATTTTTTGGGCCCATGAAATGAATCCATATGAATCCTCGGTCCACCATGGACATTGGAAGCCCCACACCCTTGCAAAGTTTTTTTACTGTCTGCCTTGAATGGCCCAAGTTGTTTTGTAATCTCAGGTGGCTGGCGTGGACAAGCTGGTGATTTGTGACTGTGATTCTGATGATTTTGATGAAACGCAGTCTGAGGCCTGGAGCACGAAGCATCCGAAAAAGGCAGCCTTCAATCGATCGGATTCCGTGAAAATCGGTCGGCCAGGTGATCAGCAACGTCCTGAGGGCGTGGCAGCTCTATCGTCAAGACTTCGCCGAGCAACAGCGGGCCTTCAACAGTAAGGCACGGTGCCGCGTGATGTGCCACGTGATGGAGGGGCCGTGGAGGGTGGGGATGAGACGGTGTGGTTCAAGTGGCACAGGCCGTTCCTGGCTTCGTCCAACCTGAGAGTTTCTCGATGCCAAAGCTTTGCAGAGGTGCAGATCTTTAACTTTGACCGCACCACGGACTTCGAGCTGTGGGACTTGGAACGGCAATATCCCTCCGACATGTGCGCCGAGTGGGTCGAAGAACTGTGCGGTGCTGTAGCCATGCTCCTAGTAGCGTCCGATCGCTCCTAGTAGCGAGGCCAGGAGCCCCTAGTAGCGTCCTTGTTACTAGTAGTAAGGCCAGGAGCCCCTAGTAGCGTCCTTGCTCCTAGTAGAAATGTAGTCATGCCTTGTGCATCCGTGTGCCTTTTTTGTCCCACCAACCGACCAACGTGTCAGGTGCTATGGTTTCCAACGAGCAGGCAGGGGACTGCGGTGAAAGCCGTCACCGGTCGTTCGTCACCCTGCCAGGTTGGACCCGGAACTCGTATGGCGCTGAGCCGGCCAAGCTTTTGGCCAAACCAGTGACATACAGAGAAAGATGTAGAGAAGGGAAAAGGAGATGAGCAGACATGAGCAGATATTTGATGATATTTGTATATATTTATATAGAACAGATTGCTTGAACTTGACTTGGATGGCAGGCAGGGAACGGCGCACTTCGTTGGCCAGTTCTTTGAGGCTTTCGGGCAATGCCAGCTGAGGCCGGTATTTGGTGTGATGGGAACATGTGAAGGTTGCCAGTGAATGGGAACAACCTTTTCTGATATATACCTCTAGCCTAGAGGGCTAAATAATCAGACGAAGTCACAACATGTAGTACTGTAAATGTTCCAACCCATGTCATGCAAACCTGGGACCTTCGGTCCTGCAATGGCAGTTTGGCTTGGGAACATGCGGCAGGTCTCCGAAGCTGAAGCTGAACTTCTCGCGTTTCGGAGGGCTCCTGGTCGGCGTCTACAACGGGGCCGTGAAAAACAAGTGCCTCGGTTTTTGACCACGCTATGAAAAATGAAGGCTTGCACAAGTGAAAGAAGTATGCCGGGGGATTAAGAGTGAGCACACATCTCTGCGCGTTTCCAGGTTTTCTTGGTTTCTGCGCACTTCGGACTTTGTACCTCGGCCAAAGAGGAGTCCTGGACGCTGACGCCACGCGGTACATTCGACTCGAATAGCGAGGAGTCGAGTGAAGCTCAGCTCGATCGACCAAGGAAAGAACGCGCGTTCAGTTCGAGTTTGACTTTGAGTGCGAGGTGAGGGGATGTGTGGGGCATGTGTGGGGCCTGGCGGGGTTGGGGCCTGGCGGGGCCTGGCTGGTGTTAGTGTGCTTTTGGGCCCATCCCGCACTTCCACGGTTTCTGGACTCTGTGCCGGCTTTCTGTATCATGACTTCACACATTGTTTGAGCGCTTGTATATTTGTTGAGATCACCTACTGCTTGCTAGTCAACTCTTGACGTGCTAATCATGACTGTTCACACTTTTCAAGTCACACAGGCAGGCAGCTGGAACTATGTCCGGATGCCATTTAATGCCTTCAAAGCAGCTGGACGCCTAGGGTCACAGTGGCCACAGGGAAAGCATCGGTCTTTGAGCAAGGAAAGGCAGTTTTACCAGCTCTGGAACAACCGATGTTGTGACACACCTTGAACTGAAAGAATAGATGGCTTGGTTGTGAGATAAAATTAATAACACTGACTTGTTTGACATGTTTTGAGATACAATGTAAGAGAGAGAGAGAGAGAGAGAGAGAGGGAGACAGAAAGAAAGAAAGGCAGACACACAGACAGACAGACCGACCGACCGACCGACCGACGGACGGACACAAAGAGAGTGAGAGAGAGAGAGGTCCCTGGACTGTGGAACTCCAGGTTCGCACGGATGGTGTGGAACTCCCTGATAGCGCTGGGGCTCCAAGCTCACTCAGCATTTCATGGTCCCTGGTGGGACCCTGCTGTCGGGTGAACCCGGGCCCCCCGAAATGGCAGGCAGGATCTCCGGATTTGCCAGGCCTTCTTGGGATTTTTAGATCTCTTCAGACCTTCAGAGAGAGAGAGCTCCAAGGTTCCAAGCCCCAAGGGAGACAAGGGCCCACTGGCCTTCCCGCTGAGGATTTCCAGCTTCGGCGGGAAGATGTGGTGCAGATGGGGGTGGTCTTCCGTCTGCTGGCTGCACCCCTGATGTCTGCGAGAGGGGTCATACAATTGTGTGGGGTGTTGTGAGTTGTTGGGATGGCACATGGGACGGGTCGCCCCGAAGGGGTCAGCCTTCGCAGACGGGTCAGCACGTGGCCGACGTGGCCACCCCGAACGCAGGCACCTATGGCGAAGAACGCTACTATCAAGGCGGGTGACTCGGAAGTTTGTTCACAGGCGTGCACGTGCGGGTCTTGTGGCCGGCCAGGTGATCGCATGAACTTCTTCTCCTTGGCCATTGACGCCCGGAGGGTTGCAGTGTGAAGGGCGGCAGGGGAAGCTCGTGTTGTTGATGCAGTTCAATCAAAACTGGTCGCATTGCATGCTTTGGCTGGAGACCTACTTGCAAGAGTGTTGAGGTTGATTCTGCAAATTGTTTTTGTCCACCTACCCTTTCCCAAGACAGTTGAAGAGGGAAGCGGCAGGCTGACAAAAAGACAACTCTAAACTTAACTGCATTGAGCACTCAAGCAGTTGCTAAGTTACTAGAGCGGAGTGCATTTGTGTGCCTGGTATGGAAGTGCATGCTCACGGAAGGGGTGCCATAAACTTGCAGACAAACAACGGCTAGAGGGCGCAGAAGTTGTTGATTTGCCAAACTGCCCTGCAGTACGTGAAAGCCTTCAAATTGCAGAAAGAGCCGCAGGCGTCAGGGGGAGGAACAGGCGGCTTGCCGCTTGTTGGGAGAGGGCTGAGCTACTTGGAACTTGGTGACCTGTGTTGTTCAACAAGATGTCATCATACTCCTTCTTCTAGCCATGACGGGCCCAAGGAGGATGAAGTGATCCAAACTCTTCCAGAAGCCAGTGCTTTCCAGGTGGCATTTGTCGGCAAAGTGGACCAAGCCGGTCCTGTCATTATGGAGGCAGGGGACGGTTTCAATCTTTGGGGTTGCAAGGAAAGGGCAGAACAATTGTCCCTTCTCCCTGCCAGGCAGAGGCAGAGACTCCAGAGGAATCGAGTTCCTCGAGGCTGGTGTCTGACCAAGATGGAATAAACGGAGGCGAAGGTGTGTGTTGAAATTCATTAGTGCTTTGAGGTGCATTGAGTGTCCTGCGGTTTAGAGCAACCAAAGACATTCAAGTGCGAGCGGGAGACTGAGAGGCTTACGCTCTCACCTGCCAGGGGGCCTTACAACGGGCTCTACACCCCGCCAAAGACGACGGCAGAGGTGAGCGGTGAACGATACGCGGAACGGAGATTCTGGCGAAGCATCAACACCAACGGACGACGGCCACGCGTTGCACCGAGGCAGTAATAGAAAGCGGCCTTGCCTTTACCATGTTGCGGGTGAAGGGGCTCAACGAGCACCCTGGAGGCAAGTTTCCGGCCTGGCTCCTCAGATGCCCAGTGAATCTGTTGAACACGAGTGGTCCTAGTGTCGCATGTGGTAAGTCGGTGGGCACGTGGCTCAGGTGGTTTTGCATCAAGCGCCACTCGAGAGGCTTGACTTGCGCAGTTTGATGTTGGAATTGAGGGTCTTGCACACAACCTTGGACCTTGTTGGCGCATCAAGGCCTCACTTGTCATATCGAACAGCGTGACTTGGCGGTGCTGAGTGGCAGATTGAATGGCACACCCAAGCCAGAAAGATTGTTGAATAATTTGCCATCGCATTTGGTTCTAACGGCCGGTAGTGTGCATAGATTGCCGCGTGGGCTTCTTAGAGCTGGGTACCAAGGGACGTGGGCTCGATCTCTCGCGGAGACGTGGCGGCGCTACTGGTGTCTGCTATGTCTGAACCGAACTGCGTCAACGCGGAGATTGTGGCAGGCCACGGTGGGTGTGAACAATCATGTTGTGAGCATTTAGCTACTATATATATATATATAGATGCCACTAGTGTTTCGCACGATATCCTGAAGCAGTGGGAATCCCATTGGCATGTGTTGGTACATAGATATATAATCATACTGTAGATAGGGCATTGCTGCTTGCAACTGTGACACAGGACTGATCCTTTCTTTGGTTCACATGATTTCACATGTGGTTGTTTAAGAGAAAAGGGGTCGATCAGCTTTGTTCCTTCAGTGTTGCCCGGGAGGCGAACCTGCCGGGGAAACTGACAGCTCTGTGATCACATCCACCCTCCAGGTGGACCACGTCCGACGGGAGCTGGGTTTTGCTGGGTTGAGGTATCACCATTTGGTGGGTCCGAGGTGAACTCCACACAGCTTTAGTGCTTTGATGTGCTTTGTGGGTTGCACGGAAATAGGAATCTTGGGGTGCCACTGACCACACTGGCTTGTCAGGAAGACGTGAAGGGTGGCCTGGCAGCACTCGGAAATTTTGACGTGTAGTCAATGCATGGCCGACCTGAGGCTATTTGAAGCAACTGCGGCCAAACAAGTGAGGGTCATCATCCCCTGCGCGTAGCTGCTAGGCATAGCCTCAATGTTCCACATTTTCATTGCGACCCACGTATCGTGGTGCTAGAAAGGCGCGTCAAAGTGGTGGAAGCTGAACATAGCCAGTTGTGCTCAGCTTCAACCTCAAACGCTTGCAGCGCCTTTGCGGTATATTTGTATTTCAGTTTCACACAGCAGGTGCCATGGCTGAAGGCTCTGAACTACCTGTGCTGAACTACCTCTGTTTACCGAGCTTTTCCACAGACCTTCGCCACATATGGTGAGATTGGCACATTTTGGCCAGCCCGTCGAGCGTTGCGTTCGGAAGCTAATGTTTCTTTCTTCGATAGCTGGCTGCTTGATCCAAAATCCTGTCAAGATTGCAATGTCCGGCCCAAATCAGCTTTTTCTGCCTGTCTCCAAGTTGCTTCTTCCAGCGGCTCCACATGGCATCGTGACTCATGTGGACCACTATCGTTTCTCCATGCCACTGGCCACTGGCAACTGGGCCACGCTTCGGCTATGCCTTGCCATAGAATCTCGAATAGGCTTCATGAGCCCTGGATGTTTGCACCTGCACAATAATATCACATCATCAGGGGAGCACCGCTTCCGACGTTTGAGGGATATCATCAGTTTACAGTATGATGCAAGCGGTGCCGCCGAGAGTGGGAGTTGCATAGTGTCAGTGGCAGAGTTTTCGTGCGGGAGCTTCAGTGTCACTGCGCAGACCGAAAATGTCCGAGTTCCTGCTTGACCTGTGAGCAACCCCAAACTGTCAATGTCGGCAACATGCGCCAGTGTTGACCAACTTATTTGTGCCTCACAGCCTTTGCTGGTTGGTCGATGCCTTCGAACGAGGCTAAGCTCCGAAGTTTGCTTTTCCATCCTCCGTGAGCAGCTGGGCATGACAAGGATCAAGCCAGAGTGTATGGGACTGTCACATGCTGGTTTATAGGAGTCGTGAGCTATTCTATGCTATTCTTGAGGTACAAGATGTTCAACGTTGATGTTGTTGTGCCAGCTGGCTGCATTGATGCACTATGTGAGCTCGTGCCAGTCTGAGTTTTGCCGGCCTTACTCTTGGGAGTGTGTCGCCTTACCAGGCATGAGGATGCTTCCATTGATGATTTTATTGATGTGCTAGAGGAGGCTGCGATTCGCTTCCAGCAAACTGAGCATTTCTTCACACATGTTGTAGAGCGGACTGTTATACGATATATTCAAACAAATCATCTGACCTGTGCTTTCCTGCCCGCCAGACTGGCACAGCACCACGCCAGTACTGCAAGTGCATTTACGTGCCTTGGCTCAGCAAGGGAGCTTTCATAAAGGCAGGACATAACAAATGCTAGGAGAAAGAGGAGAGGGAGAGAGGGAGAGGAAGGAAGAAGGAAAGGGGGAGGGATGGGATTGTGCTCTGAAATGTTTCCTCACTTGACATCCCAAGATGATTTTAGGTCTACAACAAGATTGACCTGCTGAATGTCAGCAGTTTGCTTGGCTGGTTGCTATTTGCTTTCCTTTTCACCGGGGCCTTGTTTTTCGGGCTCCTTCAAGCTGATGGGGCCAAGGTCAAGTGGATGAGCTGGCAAGACAGCCGTATTCTGTGGTGGTCTCTGTGAGCAAAGAGCTGCAAACTCGGGCACTCATCTACTTGACCCATTAGCAACGATTTGCACATAAGATGCGTCCTTGGCATGGCTTTTGCTAAATCAGGGGTGACCTCGTAGAACAACTTGACCCCACTGTGGAGTTGCACTTGTTTAATAATATGATCTACAGTTTTCATCGCAAACAACAGAGTCATGTTTGGCCCACTGAGGTTCAACCTGGATGGCCTGCTGGAAAGAATTTGGCAGGAGATTTCAGTCAGACAGATGTTTTGGTTTCTCTATTGCCATTTGCAGAGCTCTGCAGCGAAAGACATGGGGTGCATGTGCAAAAGGTAAATCGTTCAGGTCCGACAGGCTTCAGCTGGACATGACTTCTGCATGTGCAGAGGAGTTGGACCTAAGAAGGGTCTACACCAAGAAGAAGGCAAACCAGAAGATTTCACCATGTTCACATATGTTCATTATGTTCACCATGTCAAACCAATGGACGATCTCAGCTTTCTCCACCTCCAACTTTCAGATCTTCCCAGACTTGCTCCTAGTAGCGTGCTTGCTCCCAGTAGTAAGGCCAGGAGCCCCTAGTAGCGTCCTTGTTCCTAGTAGCGATGCCGTTTGCTCCCAGTAGCGTCCTCCCCCCTCTCCAGGGCCACTTCCCAGACTTCACGGATCCGACTTGAGCTTAGCTGTTTCCATCACACGTTTCTCGCTTTCTTCGGCTCACCTAGGATTGTTTTGACCTGCCAACGGGGCAACAAAACCTTCACCGTGGAGAATGCTGTTGGTTTGCTCCACAAGTGCCTTGACATGGAGATCATTTGGTATCCCGCTTCTTTTCTTATATAGTCATAATTGGGATACAGGCTCAAGGGAGTGTCCAACAAATGCACTTTGACTCATAGGCGATTTTGTTCGCTGATTCTTGAGGAGCCTACTTGATGAGTTCAAGTCAGGATCTAAGCTCCATGAGCGCTTCAGGCTACGCCACACTGGGATTCAGCTAAGGTCTGCGTTGGTGTGGGGCTGTTCAGTACGAGCATCTCCGCAAGTGTGTGGCCGAAACGCCTCAATTGAGCTGATATTCGGAGTGGACGGCATCCTGTAGGAGCTGAGTTGCAATAATGCATTGGACCTCGCAGCCAATACTATCAAAGCCATTTCTAATCAGTATACTTATATACTCATCGTTGCACCAGCTGAATTTGTGCACAATGTTGACCTGGCTTAAATTGAACTGGATTCAAGAGAGGCAAGTGGCATGGCACTATACATGTAGTCCCCAGCCAGGCTTGAAACATGAGCTGCAAGATGAAGACGTCATGCAGATCACAAAGCTTACGGCTGCATGTGCCTGAGCGGTTTGAAGGATTTGCATTGTTTTGACATGTTTCGGGCAAGGATTGGCAGCGTGCACAGGCAGATTTCTATCTATCTATCTATCTATCTATCTGTTATCGACTGCCCACACACACACATATACATATACATATACATATACATATACATATACATATGTGTATCTGTATATATGTATAATATAAGTATATATATATACGCATACACACACATGCCTACAACAACTCGCGCAGCCTTGCAGATGATTGAGAAAGACGTCATTCCATGACAAGACCACTCGCTCCCAGTCGGACTACGCATAGACGGCATAGCCTGAGGCTGAAAAGATCAAGAAGATGTTGCATGCTTAGCCGCCCCCGGTCATACTACTAGGAGCAAGGACTCTACTAGGAGTTCCTGGCCTTACTACTAGGAGCAAGGACGCCACTAGGAGTTCCTGGCCTTACTACTAGGAGCAAGGACGCCACTAGGAGTTCCTGGCATCGCTACTATGACTCACGGCCCCTTTGAAGCTTTGTCCCTTCGTGTCATTCCTCCATAGCGGCTTCTGGCTGCGCCAAGTGTTGCGGTCCGCGGGACCCCGCCCCAGGCATGGCAAAAAGACTGGCACTACATTGGCCGGTGGCAACACACAAGTGGATCCAAGTGGCAAAAAGGTGGGACACGGCTTGGCACATTATTTCTATTGGTGGTGTCTTAGCGCTGAATTGGGCTGAACTCCCAAAGAGAGGAGGCAGCCCAAGATTGTATGCATGACTCTTGGCTTGAGCAAGAAGTGCCGACATCAGGAGAAGGATAAAAAAGCGCCTTTGAAGACCTGAGTCCGAGCTGATGTATGGGCCAATGTGTGAGGCTGCTCCCACCTTTACTCCGCCCCCTGCTCATCGTTTTCCTTCTGCACTCGGCTCCTAGACCACTGGCGCTTTTCACTGTCTGGTCCGCTGGATGGAGGGAAAAGCCAAGCTGGGAAGGAACCATCACATTGTACCTACAAGACGCTGAAGATTTACAGCATGTTTTTGGATGTTTCCCTTTTGAACCGTTTCCGATGAAGTGGAACCAACTTGCGAAACATCCTGGGCTCAAGCCAAGCTACGGTTCGCATCAGCTGGGCCCACGGCCAGGACGGGCGCTTCTTGCGTGGCTTTCAGCCCGCTCCGTCTCACGTGGCGCCAGGACGGGCCATGCGGCTCTTCATTCGTGCGCTTGGTGGGGAGACGCTGCCCCTGGAGGCCAACTCTGTGAGACGCTGCCCGACCGGATGTCGAAATCCGTGTCGCATGAAGTGTTTGCTTGGCTGCTTTGCCGATCATGGGACGGATTGCATGATGGGTGCCAGGTGCCCTCAACAGCCACTGTGGTCGCCCTCCAGCAGCTGTTGGCAGAGAAGGCCGCGGACGTAGATAATCATTCTCAGCGAAGTTTGTTGGGCCAACCTCTTCAACTAGAAGTGCATCAATGGATTGCCTACTGTAGTTGAAACATGCAACTTCTAGGATGTTGATTTCCTTTCAATGATGGCCTCGGCTTTGTTCTGGATGCTGGTGTGTGCAAGCAGCTGTTCATTAGGAATTCATCTTATCCAGTGTGCTTGCCTTGGAACAGCTAGTGAAAATAGCTACGAGATTTGGGGACATGCGAGTCTGTCGCACTGACAGAGGGTCAGGTCAGGTCTTGCCCAAAAAAGCATTTGAAGCCGCACAGGGATACCATCATGAAGAGCAGCAGTTGATCTATGGTGGCAGGCCTGAGTAACAGGGCAAGGGTCTCACTTGTGCATCGGGGTTCACTTATGCATCGGCTTTGGGTTCACTTGTGCACAGTGATGTCTCACCATCGTGGGGGCAATGACATGCACCATGAGTACTGTACTGCAACATAAATATCCAAAAACCATCAGTCCAGTAACAGGGTGTTGAGTCTAAGCAGACACGGCCTTAAGGAAGCCCTGACTTCGCATTGATTTCTGCAAATGGCGTCATCCTTTCCCTGCTTATCAGAGCCCGGGAGCTGGACAAGTCATTCCCTACTTCAAAGGCTGCTCCTGCACCATCCCTCCGGAGCTGAACTGCAGTTACCGGGCTTTACACCGGCACTTTCATGTTCTGCAGACGGCTACATGTCGATAGAACCACTCAGCCTTCTTGATTTTTTTCCTACTTACTCCTTTGTGTCCCTGTTGGGCGCCCAGCATTTGGGCTTCAGTCCGGCCGGCTCGGTTTCACAGACATGGAAGAGGAGCCTCTCGAGCCGGTAGTCCCAGAGTTGCAGCCACTGGAGCCAAATCCAGAAGAGCTTGGAACTGTCAAGAACGGATGCCACCGAACTTGGTACTGGGGACCATGTAGTGCTTTGGTTATTTTCTCGCTCATTGCCTTCATTGCCTTCTCTGGAAAGACCTCCTCGGAACTGGCTGTTTCAGAGGGCCTAGAGGATCTCACCGGTTTGAGCTCTACCACGTCATGTTCTGCTGTGGATTGTAAAGGCAACTTTGCCCGACACGGCTCGGCTGTGCGCTGCGATGGCAAAGCAACCTCCCAGAAGTGCATCAACACGTGCTGCACGAGAGAGATCAAATGCTCGCGGCTTGGAGCCGGCTTTTGCGGTGGGGTGGGTGCTGGCTTCTCCCGTCGGGTGATCACATTCTTGGATGAAGGGCTTCCACTGCGCACAGGCACCTGCAAGGGTGAGGAGAATTGCAACTTGGATGATTGAGGGTCTTGTTTTCCTCTTTTGGGGGGGGGTGACAGCTGGGACAAGCACCATCCTTGAGGATCAAAGGTGCGAACAGCAAGAACAATACACTCTCGGAGTAGTTCGAACCAGAAACGTTTTCGTCTCGTTCACTGAGGCAAGAGCGCCTGCTGTCAGGGACTATGTCGAAAAACAACTTGCCCAGCCGACCGTTGCCCTATGCCATATGCGCCGAGGAAATGTACTTACGGCAGCTGCGAGGAGTCAGATGAGCAGCCAAAAGCTGGTTGTTTGATGCGGTGCGACCTGTTTCAATCAACAGACAGTGACAGACAGATTGATCAATTGGGAAATGATGGGTCTAGTGCGTCAATTTTTACCTGCATGTAGAACCTTGGTGAATAGCTTTGATGATTTATTGAAGGGACCACATACGAAACATGTAATACTTCAAGGCAGTGTCAGCTTTGCTTTCGAGGAGCAATGTTGCTACGACAAGGAGGAGTACTGTGGATGGGGACCCAACGCTTACACCCGCGCTTGCCGCAAGTGCAAAGACACCTTGACGCAGCCTAGCGGCGGTTTTGCGCTCGGGAGCAGCCGTCGAGCTTCGTTTTTGGCTGTGTCTCGCTGTAGGTATTGTGAAGAAAAGCTCGGCATTTCCCGCTCTTCTGTGACCAGAGACGAGTGGAACAGGAGAAGCCACACCAGCCAATGGGGTGAGCTGAAATGGTCAAAACTGTTGTGCCAGTAAAAACCTTCAGATTCTTGTCAAGCCTTTTCCTGGGAATGACCTGCTGGGGTGGGGGGGTTGTTGGCCGCCTGGTGCAGGATTGTGATGCGGAAGGTGGAGCAGGGGAAGTTAGTTCCTGGCTGCGAAGAAGATCATTACCTGAGGCACAGATGAGACACCTCCGGATTTGATGTAACGCAGGATGTTGGGCTATAGGCTATGCTGCGGCTATGCTGCTTGTTGGTGGGCTTGTTTTTGGATGCCGTTTAGGGTTTCTTCCTCCAGGTGCGAGGACACCAAGCTGAAGTTCAGCCTGACCACGGTCTTCCCATTCCACAAGACGGCGGAGGGCGTGAGTGCGAATACGGTGGCCGTCTTGCCCGGCGGTACCGAAGCCATCAGTGGTGGAAACGACGGGACGGTGCCTGGGTGAGTGGGACGGAGCCGACTGCAGAGCGATCTCAGCCGATCTCGAAGAATGCCACATGTGGGCGAGTCGGTCTCGACCTTTTAGTTAGAAGACATTCTTTTCTTTTTTTGGCCCGCTCAACCCCCTCCATACTTAATTAAGTAGGCGCCTACTTATATAATTAAGTAAGGGAGATAGCTAGTACCTTACTTAATCTAATTACTAGTATTGACGCAGGATAGCTCATGCTTCTTCAAGGAAGCTCCCACCGCCTGATGGCGGGGGGAGCTTCCTTGAAGAAGCGCTATCACTAATGATCTGGCTCCTAGATTTGCAAGGAAACAAAAAACGTTAGAGACCCAAGGTCGGATGTTTGTTCTCCAAGACCAGAGGCAGAAGGACACCTCGACGGGCTCAATGAGGTAAATAGATTTTGATTTATATACATCTATTATATGATGCTTTCAATGGCAGAGTGGTTGACAATGCCTTGACAGGCTCAAAAAGCAACAGTTGCACCAACTCTGGGGCCTGTCGCTACTTTTGGTACTCTTTTTTGAAGCCTGTCAAGGCTCTGTTACGGTCAGATGCAGGACAAGTCCAGAACATAGTTGAAGAATCGGACTTTGTAAAGGATCCCTTAGATTGTGAACATGTCCGTTTTGAGCCTGTTTGTGAAGGTCAGTGGCCATTGAACTCTTTTCGATATTTTTGTCCCTGTTGTCGAGCAATTCCGTTCTGAAATTCATACAAGCGACTATCAAATATAGCGGTCCAGGGCACCCATTAATTCTATTTTGTGTACACATATTTTTGTTGGAGCTGCTCTATTCATGAGACTCAGACAATTCTTTCTTGGGATTTTCGCCAAACAAATCATTGAAGCTGGAGCTGTGCTTGGGGATCAGCAGGTTGGCAGCCATATTGCAATTTCCCTCACTTGCCCCGAAGCACCAGTCATCCACGCTGGCCAGGTGTGGGATTGGCGCATAGCTGATGGCAAACCCTTGAAGAACTTTACAGAAGATACAAACCCCATATTGCAAGTTGCACCATTCAACGATGCCACCTACTTTTGTTCTGTGCCTTGGCTAACGAATGCCGGCCCTAAGGCAGGGGCCCAGTGGATCTAGACCAGTGCATGGCGTCTGACAATCTGGTTCAATTCAGTTTGGATGTCCTAAGGTCAGCCAGGAACAAGCCATTGTTTGGCTGCTGCAGTTGCGAGATGGGCTGGAGGTCCCTGGACGGACTGAGCTTCCTCAAGATGACAGGCAGGGAAGAGTTGGACGCTTAACGATTGCTCCTTGGCATGTCAACTAGGAAAGGGAAGTAAGACAAAGTACAGACAACAAATTCAACAGACCATGTCGTGTACACTGCATTAAGTGCACAGTGGCACTTCGTGTCCCCTGGCTTGCACTGGATCGCATTTTGAAGAATCATGCTTTGGCAGGAAGCACAAGAAGACGGCTCCGGGGAATACGGCCTGCATCGGATTGAACACCTGGGAGACAGCGGTTGTAGGACAGAACAACAGCTTCGTGGTGCCGCTTGGCCGAAGACCAGAAGCGATCCCGAGAGGCAGAGCTTTGAATAGCTTTGAATAGCGTGAGGCGAGCGCTCGCGCTGTTTCTTTTTTGGGGAGCCAATGCAGGTTTTCGCTGCAAGGAAGACGGGCCATGCATCGCGACGGCCCAAGGATTTGGCATTGGAAGGCGGATGCATCGATGACGGTGCCGGTCGATCCGGAGCTCCAATGGATTCAACAGAGCCTTGGCTGAAGCTGCTTTGCTTCCATGTCCTGCAACCATCCTCATACGCTGTCATCGATTTCAGAGCAGTTTGAAGCTGCAGATCAAATAGTCTTGCAAATGGATGTCCTTCTTTTTTTTGGGGGGGTTGGTGGGCATTCCCGCAAAAAACGCATCTTTCAGTGCAGACTTCTTTGAGGGGCTTTTTGCAATTTGGAGAAATCTTTTGCCGCTTAGATTAGAGGCAGACGGGTTCCTGAGGATCAGGACTGATGCTGGATACCACCAATGGCCAAAATGGGATAAATCTAGTCAATTGATGGATGCGAGCCTTGGCTTTTCAGGAGGCCTTCTTGTCTTTCAGGTTCTTCATGGTTTTTAGCCAGCTTGATGGCAGGGTAATCCACTGGACCCGTCCAGTTCCACCTGACAACCTCAGTCTCCTCACATTTTTGTTTTTCTTTGGGATCCCGGCCACATCTGGCCATTGGATTCATCCTGGAGCTACAGATTTTCACAGCTTCGTCAGGTTCATCAGGTGGCGCCGTCACATTTTTGGCCTTGATCGCGACTACGATCGTCGCCTGAAAGAGGCGACTTGACGAGCATTTTGGGCAGCTGGAAGGCACCCAGAAAAGTCGGAGAGCGAGCTTTCCCAGTAAGAAGTAATTACCAGTGAGATATCCTGGAGAAGTGAAGCCTCTTTATCAGCACACGTGGTTTCTTAGATGAAACTATCTTTGTTTAACTGGAAGCTAGCAGGCCCTTACTTTCTTAAACGGTTCTTACTTTCTCTTACGAAGCCAGGCCCGGGCCTGACCCCGGGCCTGACGGCCTAGCGACTTCAGGTTCCGAAACACTCGCTGGATCTATGCTAGGCTGCTAGTGCAGTGTTCTCTTTTTCAATCCTATTGGCAGGATCCCGAAAGAAGCTACACTCCCAGAGTAGTCGCCCAAACCAGTGGATGTCGAGTTGGCCAAGGTCAACATGTCCGAGCTGATGAACTCGAAAGCGCCCATCACTCCCGAGTCAGACGCACGGCAGCTGCGCCGTTCTGTCAGCAAGGGCCTGAGCTGTTGTTGTTGTTGTTGTTGTTGTTGTTGCGATGGAACTCTACAAAGCACATGTGGTTCTGCTACCAGGTAGCTACGTTAGTTCTTCTTGGGGGTCATGTTAGGTTAAATCTTTTTGTGCTGTCTTTATTTAAATTGCAAACCCCAGCATTGGTTTGCCACCATCTGAACAATCGCATTTGGCTTTGCAAAGCATGCTTGTCATCCAACATGACTGATCTCGCGGAAGGCCCATGGCCGAACTACTTCAGCAACATCAGGCGATGGGAGACTCAAGCAACCCTGTGGACATTGCTCAAGGGCGTTGTGGAGATCTCAAGGGCCACAGATAGGGGCACCATCCTTTGGGATTGCAAGAGCCACCAGTCTTTTTTGGGAATGGAGACCCAAGATACCCACGGGGCCTTGACTGTGCTTGGTCTGCTTGGTCTTCGGATTGTTAGTAGGCGCCATCGGACCCGTTGAGTCTTGCAATTCCCCAATTTCCCAAGCGCCACAGCTGCTGCAGAACGCCATTGGCTGCTGCAGAGATGCTAGAACACACCCAATCACTGCCGGAAGTGTCCTCAGCACCTGGGGTGTGTGTGTGTGTGTGTCAGGTGGGGCGATGTTCCACACTGGCTGCTTGGATGAAGCTTATAAGTCTTCGAGAAGCGACTCATGGCTGGTAGCAATGCACATGTGACTAGCTGCAATCGCTGCCGGGCGGCCCACTATGAAGAGCAATGTCTCAGAGCTAAGGTATTACGAACCAGACAATGGTTGGGGCAAGGTAATCAGCTTGGTGGAGATTCCATCCAACCTGTGGTTCGTGGTGGGCTATGAATATGGCAGCATACGGATTTGGATCCTTGGACTTTTGTTTCACCAGGCTTTTGGATTTGCAGAGCTCGTCACGTCCCGAGAGTTCGTACGGTGATGCCATATGCTTGCAGGAAAAGCTACAATGGCTTCCTCCAGGCGATCATTCCTCAAGCTCACATCGGCCGGGTGAATGCATTGCTGGCTCAGCCTGCAGGTGATCAGTTTTGGTCTGGTGGTGATGATGGATGGATTCGACTCTGGCAGGTGCGCTTGGTCGTGAGATTTTGGAGTGCGAGTCAGTCAAACTGCTGCCTTCTGATTCTAATCCGTCATTTTCAGAATCGGAATTGATGAATTGATCCTGCCGCTTGAGCCCCTGAAGAGGCTGGCAACGGGCATCCGGTGCGCTCACACTACGCGGTGTACGCTGGGCAAGTTAAATCATTGGCCATGATCCCCGGAGGCGTGGGGGAGGAGAAGGTCAAGGTGCAATGTTGGAGGTTCAGAGTTGACAAATGGGCATGTCGTGAGGAAGTTGTCAAAGCAAAAAGGACTTATGGGACCTAAAAAGAATGACGGTTTGAACACTTCTGTCCTGTACTGCCTTTGTTTCCCTGTCTGCTTGTGTGCCAGGAAATGCCTTCTATTCCGGCCATAGCAATGGCAAAGTCTATGTGTGGCTGGTGTACTCCACTGATAACAAGGAGACGGATTGGCCTATTTGCCACTTTAACCCCAAAGGCAGGATGATTGCGGCACCCAATCGGCAGACCTTGGGACCCCCGTTCGTGTACGGACTCGCACGCGAAGTACTGCGCCGCGGCCACGGCTGCCGCGCGTGGTGTCGTTTTCGCAGGTGGCGTGGTGAACTCGCTGGCGGTGAACCCTGGAAGCATTGGGCAAATCCTGGTGGCCTTGCAGGATGGCTTGATCAAGGTCTACACACAGGGACGTTGAGGGTGAACCTTGATCATGAACTCGTGAAACAACGCGTGTAGTCTTGGTCTACACTTGATATGCTAAGATGCATGAAGCGTGACACTCCAAGCCGTGCAAGCTTTTATTTAATTATGACTTGGAGAGGGTGCGTGCACGAGGCAAAGGTAGCACATGAGTAATCTATGCAAGTGTATGCCGCAGTGTATGCCTGCCATTTGAGCTGAACCTAGCAGCGTAGTCCTCAACACTTCTTGTGGACTTGCCACACCGGTCACCGATGCGTCCTCGGGGCCATCTGTACTGCGGAAGTGTCAAAACGTCAGGGAACAAACTGCGGATCATCGGTGTGTCTTTCTGCCACAGATGACTTTGGTTAGAAGCCCTGGTGCAAAGTCGCCTGGCTTTCGTGTCGCTCAAGGGGCACTCACTCTAGTGCTGGTTTTCATGGAGCATGTATGTCATGTTTATATATATAGTTATATATAGATACATGTTATATGTATTTATTTACTTATTTGCCTGTGTACTCCTCATCAAGCATTACACGTGATGCGTTTTGTGCTAGCCCCGTTCAAGACACTTGAGAAGCAGCTCAGACTCATCGGATCGCGAGACGTCTTCCATCGACTCAATTTGAGCTTTTCATGGTAGTGATGATGTCTGTAGCGCACTTGTCCATGGGCAAGTTGAACGCCCATTTGGGCGATTCGAGCAGAGATCTCGCTTGGCAACTTGCCCCAAGCGCCACAAGAGTCTCAGAAGACAAGGCTGAATTAAAGATACTTCTGGTCATTCTTTACGGTGAAGAGCGCCCAGAGCAGGAGAGGTTCCGTGAACAAATGTCTATACGCCGACAATTCTGTCACCTGCTTTGGTTTTCTTCCTTTGTTTATAGTCCTTCTAGTGCAAGAGGCGGCAAGAATACTCGTGAAAAAGGATGCTTGCAGCTCACTGGATGACACGACGGAAAGGGTTTGTTGTCTCCCTGCCTTTGCTTGAAGGGCCTTGCGTTGGCTCCCGGTTCGAGTTTATGTTCTTAAGCATTTCTCCCGTTCCCTCTGTGGTTTCGATGCATTTGCCACAGCATTGCACAGGTGATTGAGAGGCCCCCTCTATCTCCGTGTCATTATTCTCATTCAACGTCGCCCAAGTTGCCTCCCGACAAAAGGCTACGTAAAGATCACAGAGAGGCTGCGAGAGGCTTGCGCTCGCCTTTCCCGTGAGGTGCTTGTCTTCAGAAGAGCTGTTGGTGGAGTGTGGCCTTACAGAGGAGACCTGGGGAAAGCTGTCAAGGCATCAGCACTAAGTCAACCATCATCACATAGGACTAAAACCTAGAAGAGGTGGTTCTCATGGCAGGCCTCCTCTGTCGGGTCGCCTGTGAAGTGCGAATTGGATCGCTTGTGCATCGCCGAACTGTTGGCGGTTTGTATGAGTCAGTCGAAGTGAACGATATAAAGCCCCCACCTCACCTCACCCTACCACATCACCCAATTCCGGTGCGTAAGTGATCCTCCCACCATGCCTCCTAGACACCATGGCATCACCATGGTCAGGAGTCTACCATTTTCCTGAGCTCGGGCCTGGATGGTGGAGGCAAAAAGCGAAAGAAGAAGACCTACACCAAGCCCAAGCCACTTGGAATGGTGATTTCGTGGTGAAAGCATGCTCCGACCTATACAGGACAAATTTGGTCTTTATATTCAGTTATATGGTCTTGTTGAGAGCAATCTAGGAAAATCAAGCACAAGCGGAAGAAGGTGAAGCTTGCTGTCCTGACACTTGGCAAGGAGGCTTATCAGGGAATGGGTGGGCCAATGCATTGCCCATTGTTGCATGCACTTGGCATTGGCCAAGAGGACCCAAGGTGAATCAAAGGGCAAGAAATGTAAGCTTGCCAAGGCCAATCTCAGTTGTATAACTCAAGCAAAAGCACAATTATAGAGCAAGAATGTAACCGAGGAAGTTCTACAAAGTTGACTCCAATGACAAGGTCACTCGACTCCGGCGTGAGTGCCCTGATGAAAGGTGTGGACCAGGCAAGTTCCTGCCGTGGGCACTTTCATTTTTTTTGGGGGGGGGCAGGCCTTAGACTGTGGACGTGGGTGCCCTCCACTGTTGTTGGGTTGATCCCTGCCATCGGGTTCCGCTTGTTGCGGCTCGGTGCCTTCGACGGAAAGGCGTCTTTATGGCGATGCACTTCAATCGCTACTACTGCGGGAGGTGCCACCTGACCTACCTGATCAAGAAGGAGGCCGGAATGCGGGTCAGGCGAAATAGACCTGCCCAGACTCTCTGCATAAATAGACCTGACCCCTGCCAAGCAGTGGCATGCTGGCTGACAGTGAATTTGCGGAAGGACACACGGGGAACACATGCACAAAGATATGTCCATGACATGGCTGCAAATGATGATGTGGTCATGTCACTTGCGAGTGGTGATCCTTTTGTAAATGAATAAACTGTTATACAGACTAGTTGATTGAGCACTCTGACACCTGCCGGGCTGACTCATTCATGCGCGTGCTCTGCACGCACCCTGTCAACTCGTTTCCGCCCCGCAGGGATGAAATGTCCGGCCCTGGCGATGTGGACAAATGATGAAAATGATGTTTTTTTACTTTTGTTTTTAAAATCCATGCAGTCTTTGGCATTTTCTGGCGTTTGGACTCCCTCCTTTTTTGTTTCTGTTTTGGTTGGCTTGGGTCATTTAGGGGATACATGATAAATGCACTTCTTCAAGCTTGGCTGGATCAAGCCGGCGTGATTGACATTGACCGATCATTCAAGCAGCGATGTCTCAAAAAGAGCAGATAAGAGATCAACTTCATTTTGAAGCCGTGGCTATTTGCGATAGAAAGCGTAATAGAGAGACCCATGCCACAATTCCTTGAGTTTCATGTTTGTACTGCAAGAGAACTCGAGATGAAGTCGCTGAGACATGCCGAGACCCTTGGAACAACAGCATGTAGAAAGATGTTGCCCAATGAGTTGAGCCTGGAGCCCGAAAAGATCAAAGAATTGGTGCAGACATGTGCAGACTGTCTTCCGGTCTTTGCTATCGAATCATTGCACATTGTAATTTCATGTTGCTCCGTGGCTTCTTTCCTTTCAAAACCGAGGTCGACGCCGAGGTTGTGGGTTCGATGGCATTCCCGCCTTGTTGGCGGCGGTTTGGGACGTGTGTTTCAGCAGTGAGGCATGAAGAGGCGATGTAGTACAATTTGCCCGGCCGGTCTGCATGTGAATGGGCTCAAGGAAGTACAAGCACCACGCAAAACCCGGCGAGAGGTGTTGAATGCTTTGACACAGCCTTTCCAACCTCAAGTTCTGGCGGATAGTTGTTTGAATTTGCTTGTTGCCACCCTGACAGAATCAATACCACCCCAAAGCTTCACGTTTCGTGCCCTTAGGGATGCCGATGTGCCCGTGTTTGAGACCCAATGTATGCATGTTGCTCGAATCCCAGGGATGAATGCACCCCTGAAAGATAAATGACAAAGCACGATTCTTGTTAGAATTGTTAGACATCGCTCCTTGAAAGCAGCTGGATGCTCGCGTCACAACGGCAAGCCATTTTGCATTCCAGAAGTGCGGAGGGATGTTGCTATGTGCTCCTTTCTGGCGGCAAATCAACTTATCACAAATCTGGCCTTCGTAAACTTCTTCCTGCAACCACGGGGGCCAGATGTGACGACACACGTCCGTTTACATGGCTTTGACTTTGTTCACAACTTGTTGCACATGACAGGTGAACGGCGACCCCAACCCTTCGTCTCTTCTGATGGCCGCATCGTGGCTCTTTTCAATGGAGAGATCTACAACTGGCGGCGTTTGAGTGAAGAGGCCCAGTCGCGCGGGCTGCCAGCGTTTCAGTCGGACGGCGAAGCCATTTTACCCACCTACGCCATGGCAGGGGAGTCGTTCCCTTTGGCTTTGCATGGGGAGTTTGCCATCGCCATTTTTGATTTTGAAAGTCGCAAGGCAGTGTTTGCTATGGATGCTTTTGGTACTAAGCCACTGTGGTATGCACTCAGTGGAGGCAAGTTGGCAGTCGCTTCTTACAAAAGTGGGCTTCTTCGACTGGGGTTCCTGAGCAAAGACATACACATGGTGGGCCCTAATAGGGTCCTGACCATTTCCTTGGAGACATTCAGCATAGTGAAGCAAACGGCTGTTTTTGAGTTTGACCTACGGCAGTTCAAGACTTCGACGGAGGACTTTATCCATGCCTTCAACGAAGCTGTGCAGTTGCGAACCCAGGATTTGGAGCAAACGGGCCGACCATTGTTCATTGGGCTCTCGTCTGGCTTTGACTCCGGGGCGATCCACGCCTCCTTACACCAGAATTCCGTCCGACATCACGCCTTTGCGCTGTTGGCTGAGGAGATGCCACAAATGCTCCATGACCGGGCCATGTTTGCCAAGTCCACTTCGGAGGTCTCTGTGGTTCTGATGAACGATTGGGACTTTGAGCAAGAACGAGAGTGGCTGTCAGAGAGAGCTGAGCCGTTCAACTACTTGGGACGTAACTTGACTGGGCAAATCAATGTACTAGACGACTATGCGGCAACTTGACTTGCAAATGGGACAGTAGCTGGTATTCGGCACCACTGCAGTCACATCCTAATCATTCCTAATCCCACTTCCATCTATATGGTGATTTCATGTTCCCCATTTTAGGACTTTTTCCTCTTGGAATGGGTTTAGCAATCATGAAGGGAGCACAAGACAAATTCGCCTTACTATCTTAAGTTTCCTCGTCTTCACTGGAAATACCGCCCCCTTTCAAGCCACAGAGGGAACTGGTGGCCCACAACGCATTGGGGGAGGCACCAACCACCAAATGTCAGGCCATTGGCTTAAGCTACATCGTCCGCTTGAGCCGGGACCGTGGAGCCTTATGCTACCTCTCTGGTACCGGTGCGGATGAGACATGGCACGCATATTTACTTCCCCCATTTTGGAAGTGCTCAGCAGGCCCAACTTAGAGTGTATTGGACAGTTGGGCACTCTTCCAAGTAAGGAAATTCTGAGCGATTACGGCTTTGAGGGTGAGAAGTGGTGTCCTCAGTCATCTTTTGGAGGCCTCTTTCCGGAAAATCTGTCGACCATCTTCCCCTGGGGCGAGTTCTTCCTATCAACTCAGCGAGACTACCTGCACAAGGAAGAACATGTTGCTGGTGCACATGGTGTGGAAGGACGATACCCATTTTTGGACACGCGCGTGGTGCAAGAATATCTTTGGCTGGCCCCTGAAGCTGGGCAAAAGTTGAGACCCGCATGATGTTTTTGAGCAGCCAGTTTTTGTTGTTCTAAATTTGGTTAGAGTATCAGTATCCAAAGGCAACAAATCCAGAATTTTGCCCCGTGGGCCGAGGAAGTGAAGAATCGGGAATACAAGTCTCCTTTGCATGATGCCTTCGTGGGCTGGGGATATCCCTTTGAGAGGAGGAAGAAAACAGGCTTTGCCGCACGCGCCAATTTGGTCTCAGACGACTACAGCATCCTTTGGCGCTACAACACCCACCCACCGGTGCCATGTGGCCCGCATGTCGCGCCCAATACCATCTCTTTGTGCACCGACATGGGCCAGGGGCTCGCATGCGAAGTGAAATGCTCAGATGATCAGCCACCCAGTACCGATACCTTACGCTGTGGTCATCGTGGCTTGTGGGTGGGGCACATCGAGTGTGGCGGCAACTCCTCAGCGACCCTGTGGCCCAAGAACGGGCCGGCCCCCCCCCCGGGTGGTGGAACAGGGCTAGGCCGCTAGGCCACTGCGAGGGATTTCGCCACTTGCACAGCGCCTTAGCACATTTTGGTGGCCTTGTGCAAAGGCGCACTGCTGGGCCCGCCTTGGCAGAGAGAAAGGGCTTGGGATGCCATTGTGGCCGTCTGTGTGTTTGCGTGTGAGGAATCTTGAGCTGCCTGGTGCACCATCGAGCTGGAGTGTGTGCAATGAATACATTCTGTCGTTCTGTCAAGTCAAGTCGTCCCTATCCACTGCCAGGTGCATGCCAAAGTGGATCCACCAAACCATGAGGAGGAACCCCGCAGTGACGCGTGCCTGGCTTAGCCGCTGGCGCGGCCGTCGCCGAGGTGCAGTATAACAGATATAACAGTATAACCGAACCCAAGCTACAATCCAAATGGTGTCTTTTAATCAAGAGCCGAGCGTGCTTGCAAACCGTATCCTCAAAGCTGATTATGCCACTACGCCGTTACGCTGTTTGGTGTTACCTCACCCCAGTTTGTTTGCACATCCCACCGCCTTTCTCTTGGGAGAGTGTTTGACATGCAAGGTTTGACCTTGAGCAGGATGTGGGAACCTCAGTCTTCAAACCAACTTGAAGGGTCGTTTGTGTGGTTCGCCCGTGGAAGGGTTTTTGGGGGATCCTTTGGCATGGCATCGCGTGGCTCAAGCTCCGAAGACTGGGCGCGCTTCGCCGAAAGCACCTCGTTGGGCATGTCCCGCTTTTTCGCCGTGCACCTCTTCAGCCTCTTCATTCTGTGGTTCTTGATGACCTCGACTACCTTGTGGCTCTTCACTGGCATAAGGATGTCAGGCAACTGGCATGAGAGTAGTGTGGTGCGGCGGGTCATTGGTGGCATTGATGGACATCATTTTGAAAACGAGGGCCTCATGAAGCGCGAGTTGAAGAGACTAGCAGAAGAACAGCAAAGTGAGGCAGAGAAACAGGGCTTGAGTGTGGACCCGCAGTTGCTTCACCTGGAAACATCCAATGATTTTGTGAAGTACGCAGCCAAAAGAGGGGCAGAGGTCAAGAGAAAAGGGAACAGCTATTTGCGAGTGCAAAAGGGGCCAGTCTGGTGGGAGTTCCGTGCCACCCAGCAGAAGTTCAAGAAGAAGGAGGTAAAAGTCATCATCATCACAGCATTCAAAGCCATGGGCATCGGGTTCAAGTGAGTGGAGATTGGGCAGAATCTGCCTGACTTGCAATCCTGGCGCTGGCTTGGCTTGATCTCGGGGTTGTCGCACCGGCAAATGCTTGAGATGCGGGGTCATTTCCCCAGCACTGAGCTGTTCGAGATGCGCAGTTCTGAGCCCGAGGGTCATGTGCTGAGGAGCTATCGCGAGGGTGCAGCGGACGCACTGACCATGAGTATGCTCGTATAATTTGAACTCCAGAAATTCTAGATTCTAGACCTTGGTGCGGTCGAGCTGCCACTCACTACCTGATTTAGATTTTTAAGATCTGAAGTGGCCCATATGTGTCTGGACAAGAGCTCCAGAAATTCGGTCTTCCTCGGCCAATTTGTCTGGCATCTCGACAGCCGCATTCAGGCGTGCTGCTTGCTCTGAACACTAGCGCTGGGGGACATGGTGCGCGAAGGGAATTGATGGGGTTAGGAAGTCGGGCTGTCTGAGGAGCATTACATTCGCCGATGGCGCCACCTGGTAGGCTGTTTGGGGCTTGGAAGTGAGGGAGAATATGGCAGACATGAGAGAGTGCCAGAGCTTAGGGCAACTCGCATATACCCATGCAGCTTCAGGGAACAACCACGCCGCAAACAACTCCGAGCTTGCTTGGCGTGGCACCTAGGGACCGATGAAATATACAGTATACAGTTGCCTGGTTGGGCACGGTGCAGCAAGCTTGGCAGAGTCCAGCATGTTCTTTCTCCTGTGGGTTCGTGCATCTCCCTCTTCGTCGAGGTGGATGGTGGTTTACAAATGGGTGGCGATCAGGCGAAGCCCATCCTTGGAGGCCTTTGTATACCCTTTTTAGTTTCCTCCTCCTCCGTGCTTGGTCCTCTGTAAACTGACGATGATTCTCTGTAAAATGCTCGGCAAGTGATCCCAGTGGTAAAGCACGGAGGCTGTTTCATCATGTTTCATCCATCTGGCAGTCTGACGCACTCCGATCTCGGCTGGTTTTTCATTGATGTTCGACCTTATTGCAGGGGCAGATCGTCAGTGGCCTCTCAAGGGGCGATCCGATTTTCTGTGCAGAGACCTTACCGTTTCAAGTGTGTCTAGCAAGTTTCTGCTGTTTTGACTCGATGTGTGGCAGAGAGGTGGTGGTTTTAGAGTGGTGGTAGCTGGTTTCAGTAAGCCCGTCCCGATTCCCAATTCAGCAATTTCTTGCTTGTTCCTGAGATTGGGGTGTTCCAAGCAAACGAGTCAAGGTCTCCATGGAGGGTGCGTGGGTATGGGCCTTGGCTTCGTCGTTCCTGTGAAGTGGCATGCCGGTGACGCCGGTGAAGACGCCACGGCCGTCCTGAGATCCGGATAGACTTGAGCAAAGTGCCGCCAGCTTCTTCAGGCTGATTGGCCCAACAATTTCCATAACTCTTGCGCTCCCTTTGCTAATGATGCTAATGGCTCGTACTGTATAGCAACAGCTACTAAAGTTCCAGCTCGCGTGGGTTCGTGCACTTGTTCCTTGTGCCAGGTGAAGATACACAGAAAGCCGAGGTGCGCAGGAGAAGGCGGAGCGGCAGAGCAGCGGAGCGCTAGCTGGGAATTCTAGATCAATCCAAAACGTAGAGGACGTCTATAGACCTGGCATGTTTCGATGTGTATATATATATGTATATAGGTGTGTTTGTATATCTCTATATATATAGTGTTTTTCCCCAATAGCCATGCTATGGGGTCTTGCAAAACTAATAGGCGGACGGGCGCCGCCGGGTCACCGTCAGAGCTGGTGGGCGGATGGTGTCCCGGTCATGTTTTGATGGCGTCCGGGTCATGTGATGCTGGTGTCCCGGTCATGTTTTGATGGTGTCCCGGTCATGTTGTGATGGGGTCCCGGTCATGTTTTGATGGTGTCCCGGTCATGTTGTGATGGTGTC